CTAAGATTGGAAGACTTAGCAGCCTTACCTAACACATAGAAACAGATGCAGGGAGACTGCCAAAATGGGGAGACAAACGTCCAACATGGAAGAACAGAACAAAGCTTCAGAAAAAGAACTCAACAAAATGGAGATAAGCAATCTACCAAATACAGAGTTGAAAACACTGGTTATAAGGATGCTCTATGAACTTAGGGGAAGAGTAGATGAACTCAGTGAGAACTTTAACAAAGAGATAGAAAACATAAAAATGGAGATGGAAAACATAAAAGAGAACCAGTCAGAAATGAAGACTACAATATGTGAGATGAAGAGTACATTAGAGGGACTCAACAGAGTGGATGAAGTAGAGGATCAAATTAGTGATTTAGAGGATGGCGTAGTGGAGGACACCCAACCAGAACAGCAACAAGAAAAAAGAACCCCCCAAAAAGAAGCTAGTTTAAGGACCCTCTGGGACAACAATAAGTGTAACAACATTTGGGATACCAGAAGAAGAGAGAAAGCAAGAAATTGAAAACCTATTTGAAGAAATAATGATGGAAAACTTCCCTAACCTAGTGAAGGAAATAGACAAACAACCCCAGGAAGCTCAGCGTTCCAAACAAGATGAACCCAAAGAGGCCTGTGCCAAGACACATCATAATTAAAATGCCAAAGGTTAAATACAGTGAGAAAATCTTAAAAGCAGTTAGTTACCTACAAGAGCGTTCCCATAAGACTGTCAGCTGATTTCTCAACAAAAATTTTACAGGCCAGAAAGTATTCAAAGTGATGAAAAGCAAGGATCTGCAACCAACATCACTCCATCCAGCAAATTTATCATTTAGTATCAAAGTTGAGATAAAGAGCTTCCCAGACAAGAAAAAGTTCATTGCCACCAAACCAGTATTATAGGAAATGCCGGAGGAACTTCTTTAAGAAGAAGAAAAAATTTGTATCAAAAATATGAATAAAGAATGGCAATAACTACATACAAGTACTTCAAATGAAAAAGGAATTAGATGCGCCGATCAAAATATAGGGTGGCAGAATGGATAGAAAACAAAACCCTTACATAGGCTCCCTACAAGAAACTCACTTCAGATTAAAAGACAGACACAGATGGAAAGTAAAGGGATGGAAAAAGATATTTCATGATGGTCCTATTGTGCTGAGTCGAGTAAGTCAGATAGAGAAAGACGAATGCCATATGATATCACATACATAAGGAATCTAAAGAACAAAATAAACAAATGAAAAAAAAAACAGAAACAAACATAGATACAGAGAATTTTTTGTGGGTTACCAGATAGGAGGAGAATTGGGCGGTCAGTGAAAAAGGGTTTGGAAAGGACTAAGAAATACAAATCAGTAGTTACAAATAGTCATGTGAATAAAAAGTATAGCATAGGGAATATGGTCAAATGGGTACTAGATTTATTGGGGTGATCTCTTCATGAGTCATATAGATGTCTAATCACTATGTCGTACACATGAAACATAATATATACCAACATAATTCAAAAATTAAAAATGTTATTAAAAAAAAAAAAGATTCAAATAAACCACTCCGTTTTATACCAGAAGGAACTAGAAAAAGAAATACAAACTAAATCCAAATTTAGCAAAAGGAAGGAAAAAACAAATATTAGGCAAAAATAGAGACCAGAAAAATAATAGAAAAAGTCAATGAAAATAAGAGCTGGTTTCTTGAAAAGATAAACAAAATTGACAAATTTTTCACTAGACTAAGAAAAAAAGGACTGAAATAAATCAGAAATGAAATAAACATTGCAACTAATATCACAGAAATACATAGACTCATAAGGGACTAATATGAACAATTATGTACAAACAAATTTGATATCTAGAAGAAAAGGATTAATTCTTAGAAATATAAAATCTACCAAGACTGAATCTGGAGAAATAGAAAATCTGAACAAATCGATAATAATAAGGACACTGAATTAAGAATAAGAAATCTCTTAACATAGGAAGGCTCAGGACTGTATGGTTTCAGTAGTGAATTCTACCAAACATTTAAAGAAGAATTAACACCAGCTCTTCTCAACTCTTCCAAAAATTAAAAAGGAAGGCTCACTCCCAAACTTATTTTGTAAGGCCAGCATTACCCCAATACCAAAGCCAGACAAGAACATTACAAGAAAATAAAAACTACAGGCCAAGATCCCTGATGAATGTAGATGCAGAAATTCTCAAACAAATATCAGCAAACTGAATTCCACAACACATTAAAAGAATCATACGCTATGACCAAGTGGAATTTATCCCTGGAATTCAAGGATGGTTCTACACACACAAATCAGTAAATGTGATACACCACATTAATAAAATGAAAGATAAATCATATCATCTCAATAGATGATCAAAAAGCATTTGACAAAATACAACATATCATGAACATTCTTTCATGATAAAAACTCTCAACAAAACAAGTTAGATGGGATGTACCTCAACATAATAAATGCCATATACACTAAACCTGCAAATAACATTATACTCAATGGTGAAAAGTTGAAAGTTTTTCCTCTAAGATCAGGAATAAAATAAGGTAGCCTACTCTCACCACGCCTAATTTAACATAGTACTGGGAGTTCTAGCAGAGCAATCAGACAATATAAAGAAATGAAAAGCATTCAAATCATAGAGGAAGAAGTAAAATTGTCTTTGTTCGCAGATGATATGGTCTTACATATAGAAAAATCCTCCACCAAAAAAACTGTTAGAAGTAATCAATGAATTCCCTAAAGTTGTACAGCAAAACCAACATACAGAAATCAGTTGCTTTTCTATATACTAACAAATATCTAAAGATGAAGTAAAGCAATCCCATGAACAATAGCATCAAAAACAAGAAAATAGGAATAAATTTAGACAAGTAGACGTAAGACCTGTATACTGCAAACTGTCAGAGTTTGATTCAAGAAATTGAAGAATACACAAATAAATGGAAGTAAATCCCATGTACATGGATCAGAAGAATTAATATTGTTAAAATATTCCTAATACCTAAAGCTATATATAGATTCTGTCCTGTCAAAATTCCTATGGCATGTTTCATAGAAATAGCAAAATTTGTATGGAACCACAAATGACCCCTATTAGCTAATGCAATCAGGAGAAAGAAGAACAAAGCTGGAGGTAGCACACTTCCTAATTTCATGCTACAAAGCTATGATAATTAAAACAGTATGATTCTGACATAAAATTAGACACATAGGCCAATGGGACAGAATCGAGAGCCCGGAAACAGACCTCTGAACATATAGTCAACCAATATTTGACAAGGGGGCCAGGAACACTCAATAGGGAGTCTCTTCAATAAATGGTCCGGGAAAACTGGATAACTACATGCAGAAAAATGAAATTGGACCTCTGTTTACACCACTCACAAAAATTAACTCAAATTGGATTAAAGACTTAAACATAAGATCTGATACTGTATAACTCCTAGAAAAAAACATAGGGAGCAAACTTCTTGACGTAGGATGGGGCACTGATTTTTTCGACACGACACCAAAAGTCAACAAATAGGAGTCTACATCAAACTAAAAAGCTTCTGCACATCAAAAAACAAGTATGTATATATACATGTATGTATGTATGTATATGTGTGTATGTATATATATGTATTATATATATGGAAAGGTCCAACCTATAGAATGGGAGAAGATATTTTCAAAACATATACCAGATAAGGAGTTAATATTTAAAATATGTAAAGAACTCATACAGCTCAATAACAAAAAAAGAATCTGATTTTAAAAACGGACAGAGGAACTAAGTAGACATTTTCCCAAGGAAGCCATCTAAGTTGCCAACAGGTACAAGAAGAGATGCTCAGCATCACTAATCATTGGGGAAATGCAAATCAAAACCTCATACCTGTTAGAATGCTGTCATCAAGAAAACGAGATAACAAGTGTTGTTGAAGAAGTGGAGATAAGTAAACCCTTGTGTACTGTGAGAATGTAAATCGATTCATTCACTATGGAAAACAGTATAGAGGCTCCTCAAAAAATTAAAAATAAAACTGCCATATGATAAAGCAATTCTACTTCTGGGTATATATCTAAAGGAAATGCAAGTAGGAGTTTAAAAAGATATATGCGCTCCCATGTTTACTGCAGCATTATTCACAGTAGCCAAGATATGGAAACAACCTACGTGTCTGTGGATGAATGAATAATTTGTGGCATATATACAATGGAATATCATTCAGCCATGAGAAAGGAGGAAATACTGCTATTTGCAACAACATGGATGGACCTTGAGGACATTATGCTAAATGAGCTTAGAGAAAAACGAATACCATATGATATCACTTACGTGTAGAATCTAAAAAGGCAAACTCATGAAAACAGTAGAATGGTGGTTACCAGAGGCAGGGGTTTTGGGGAATAGGGGGTATGTGGTTTAAGAGTAGAAACTTGGAACTAGTAGATCAGTCCCAGGAGCTAATGCAAAGCATAGCGATTGTAGTCAACAATTCTGTATTAAAACGTCGAAATTGCTAAGATACTAGAACTTAATACAAAAAAAAAAATGAAAATTAGGCGAGGGGATGGAAGTTTTAGAGAAGGTGGTAATTACATGTAATATATCAATGTATCCAGTCAACGTGTTGTACACCTTAAACTTACAAACCTGATATGTCAATTATATTTCAATAAAAAGAGCAAGGATTATGTGATGTGATTCTTTAAGCTCGAAATATTTTTTCCAAGCTATTATATAGGGTGGATCCTAGTCTATACTATTTCTCCAATTCCCTGCAAATGTAAGAAAACTAAAGCGAAAAAAAAGCGCAGTTTTGCTGCTTCTGTTTCACATCCTGCTTGATGATTACATCTCCTTTTTATGGGTTCTTGAACCCAAGTGAATCCCGGCCCGTGTAATAAAGGCTTATTCAGTGCAATTTAGCCCACCCCTTTTATGATTTCTCTTTTTGGCTCACGCGTGGCACTCCTTTATAATTATTTCCGTTCATTCTTCAGATTTCCAACTTCTGTCACAGTGAGAAAAAGAAAAACGCAAACCGATTCTACAAGCACCCGCTCGTTTATTTGTATCTCGCCTGCTAATTCAAAAGGCAAGTTGCAGGCTGGCGGGAAGCTAAGCCCTGCAGAGGATTCTGGGACGTGTAGTCTCGAAGCTTCCTGCGATTGGAGCACTTCCGATCCGGAAAAGTGCGAATGCGTTCCTTGCTTCGTCGGAGAAATAAAACTATAATCTAGCCTTCTGCACGTATGGAAGGAATCATTTCGGCTATTGGAGGGGTTGGAGCGGGCACTTTTGCCTCGGGAGGGCGGGGCAGCGACTCTCGTTCCTCTCGGGGATGCTGGGAAATGTAGTCCACGAGCTCCGCGAAGTCAAAGACTTGCTACGCGAGGTTGAGCCCGCGGCCTTCGTTTCTCGCTTTGGGAGGTGAGTGACCCTCGGGACCCCCTGGCCTCTTGCTACTTTTTTGGCTGGGTCGTGGGATTAGTGGGGCCGGCCCTCGGTCACGGGGAAGCAAACGCGCGGCCAGCGGCAGAACGGGATTGAGGGGCGGGGAAGGCCAGCACTGGCCCGAGCCTCTGTGTTTGGGGGCGTTTCGCGAGTCCCCGGGTGAAGGCAGACAGGGATCCGGTAGGGTTGAAGGTCTCCCGGGCTCTCCGCTGCCAACTCGCCTTCCCCCACCCGTTCCACACACACTGTCACTTTCTAACCATATAGCGTTGGGGTGAGAACTTTAATTGTGTACCTCGATTTCCTTTTCTGTAAAAGGGAATAGTACGAGTACCTGCCTTAAACGTTTTAAGAATTAATGGTATAGTACAAATGAAATGTTTACAACAGTTCAGGTGTGTGGCAAGATGTTAAGCGGTTAATATTAGTATAATCAGAAAAGTATCCCTTCCTCCGGAAGCCCGTCGAATTGTCACTGTCTCGTTCTGATCCGTGCAGAAAAGGAGGCTGTGGCAGGACTACTGCTGAACGTTTGAGAGAAAGGCTGCGTCACAGAAATCCGCTGTGGTTTTTCCAGGGCCGGACAGGATCGTAGTACCTCCCAGCCTCCTTTTTTTCCCTTCCCCTGACTTCTGAAAGGGGGCTGTGGAAAGCCGGCGTGTGGCCTAGGGCGCCAGCCAGCAGAAACTCACCGCGACAGGACTTAGCATTCTTTTTTGTTTGTTACAGAGTTGTTCGATTATCGTTAACTAATTGTGAACATATACGGGCACGAGTGATAGTCACAACAGTTAAGCCTCGAGTGCCAAGTGTCATTCTAAGGGCTTTATAAAAATTAACATACTTAACTTTCACAGGGCCCTTATGAAGTGAATGCTGTTATTACCTTTATTTTACAGATGAAATGGTGACAGCATAAGTTACTTACCCTACTTCACTCTGCTAGTAAGACAGGGGCATTTGCGTCTAGGGCTGTGTGCTTTATATCTTTGGATATTCTCGATCCCTCAGTCTAAAATCCCAAAATTGGAATTAGGAAACGAAATAGAAAAACAGTCTACAGAATTATTCTACCATAGGAAACTGGCTGCAGAAGAGTCATTTGGGATTAAATTGTGGAGGTAGGTTGGAATTTTATTGTAGAGGATTTTAAAAGTAGGGTTAGTGAGTTCAGACTTCTTTATTAAATTTTGAAACTTCATAAAAGTTATAGTCCACATTTTACTTATAGAAGAAATGTACACTTGTTGTAGTGAATCTAGAAAATATAGAAATACACAAAGAACATTAAGAATGACCCATCGTATTAAGATATAGTCAGTTATTAACATTTTAATGCATTTCTGTTAAGCAATTTTAAAATGTGTGTTTATATTTTTTGACATTGTTATCGCACATAGTTACCCCCTAAACTCTTTCCTATGGAAATTTCCAAATATACCCAAAATGTAGTATAATTAACTCCTATGTAACAATCACCCTGTTTCATCCTTGCTAACCCTGTTTCTTTTTCTCCTCCCCAAGCACATTTTTCTCCTTGAATATTTTAAAGCAAACCCTGATGTTGAGTCTGTAAGACTTGAAAAATTAATTATCATAACTTGTTTATATGTGAAGACCAAGGGAGAGGAGATTGTATTCGTTTGCTAGAGCTGCCATAACAAAATACCAAAGACCAAGTGGCTTAAATAACAGAAATTTTTTTTTTGACAGTTCTGGAATTGGACTTCCAAGATCAAGGTGTCGGCAGGTTTGGTTTCTTCTGAGGCCTCTCCTTGGTTTACTCATGGCTGCCTTTTTACTGTGTTCTCACGTGGTCTTTCCTTTATGTGCTTATGTGCCCCCGTTGTCCCTCTGTGTATCCAAATTTCCTCTTATAAGTACACATTAGGGTGGTTTAGCGCCCACCCTAATGTGTACTTATAACGATCTCATTTTAACTGAGTCACCTCTTTAAATGCCCCATCTCCAAATGCAATTACATCTGAGATACTGGGGGTTAGGGCTTCAACGTACAAATTTGGGGGGCATTCAACCTATAACAGGTAGTAACAGCAACGCTAAGATTTCCTTCTCTTGGCGACTGGGAGAGTGTTACTTGACTTGAAACAGTTAGAAAGAGTTGCAGTCAGGGAAACAAAATGAATACTTTTCTCCTTTGGCGTTGTTCTTGCCACTGGCGTGTAACTCTCAGTTTCTTCTCTCTCTCCTCAATTAGGCTCCAGGGACCTCTGTTTCATGGACCTGATCGTATTCTCAGAGTACCCAGCATGAGGTCGGCAAGAAAAGTTACTCAGTGAGTTAGTGTGATTCATGTGGCTGGCCAAAGGGTGCTACAGCCTGGGATTAGAGGACAGAAGAGAAAGATAATTCATATCCATATTCCTTGTCTTTTATTTTACTTTTGGTGGGCTGTAGAATCCACCAGCTTTTTCATAATATTCAAAAATTGCTGTACAATTATGCATAATATTTTCATGATCTAAAACAAATTTCTGTAGAAATAAATCAGTGTTAATGGTTAATTTTTTTTTATTGCTTGGGGATCATAATGGGGACGATGAGAGTAGTTTACATGTCGGGCACCTTGCGACTCAGAGTTTCCAATACTTTACATGTACTAACTCATTTATTTTTCATAACAATGCTATTTTTTGGTCCTATTTTAAAAATGAAGAAACAGGCACAGACAATTGAATAAATGACCTGGTGGCAAGGGACAGAGCCAGGATCAAACCTCACCTCTAGCGCTCTGTGACTGAATAACTGTGGGCAAGTTACTGAACTTCTCCGTGCCTTCATTTTCAAACCTGTCAAATAGGGATAATATCAATACCAACTTTCTGAAATTTTTGTTTAGATTAAAAGAGAGATGATATGTAAAGAGCTTGAAATAATGAATTCTCTATGTATTACAGACTAGAGTTGTCCTTTATTACAGGTGAGTATGCACCACAAGAAATGCAAAGTACCAAAAACAAAAAGAAAGAAAAAAAAAAGAAATGCAAGTTACTGAAAGAGCAGAAAAATAATTTAAGGTATTCTTTTCTCCCCACCTTCTGTTTTTGGTACTTCAATTCTGTCATACAGTTGAACAAAAAGCATAGTTTCTATAACAACCATTGTTTAAACCTAAAATTGATTTGCTGTCTTTTGAGCCTAGAGAGTCCCTGGGGGACAATTATATGGTCTCTACTGCTTTAAAAAGGTCCAAGTCTGCGCTATCTCATATAGTAACCGTTAGCCACATGTGACTCTTGAGCACTTGAAATGTGGATAGTGCTAATTGAGATGGACCATAAGTGTAAGACACACAACAGATTTCAAAGACTGAGTATGAAAAATGAATGTAAAATATCTTGATTTTTATATTGATTACAAGTTGAAGTGGTAATATTTTAGATATATTGGGTTAAAGAAGATACGTTGTTAAAATTAAGCTCACTCCTTTCACATTTTTTACTGTGTCTATTAGAAACATTTAAATTACACGTGTAGCTTGCGTTATATTGCTATTGGACAGCACTGGTCTAGATGGAAGCCCCCCTTTTCATGCCGAAGATTTGCCCCAGGGGCATTTATAAGTCACCCTTGCCTCTCAGACCTCCGAGGGCATTTTACAACGGCGAGAAGCAAGGAGTTGGTTATCCCGAGGCCTGAGTGCCAGGCCTAGCCCCGCCCTTGGCTTCCTGGGTGTCCTATGGGAGGAGGACACTTACATGCCATGCAGGGCCATACAGGGTGTGCACTTGGGAATAGAATGAACAGCAGGGGTTACGTTAGCCGGTTTTCGTAGTGACAAGAGGGTAGGGTGACCCTTGGTTCCTGCAAGAGGATGTGATTGGCCTGTTTGAATAATTTTACAGGCTGGCAGGGGCAGAAACCTGTTGGGTTAAGGACAGAGTGGGTTGCAGCTGGTCCAGCTCATAGGGTGAATTGTGTCAGGTCTTAATATAGAAAGGTGGCTGAGCGATAATGTGGACAGATTAATGTCACCGAGAAAGAAGATTTTTAGTACTTACAGTTAGTTCCCCCAGGCACAGCCTGCCACAAGGTCACATGAAGCCTGCCGCACGCAGGGGTCGAGAAGGAGAGAGAGACGAAGTGGGACTGTGCCTGTATGAGTACATGATAGGAGGTAACTAGATGAAGGCATCCCATGTTGGGCGCTGAGTGAAAACAGGCGAATTGGGGGCAGCAGTGGGGGGATTATAATATGACTCTCAGGTGCCCTCGAAAGCTTACTCGGAAGTAGTAAGTAACTTTGATCGATAATCTGGCCCTGTGATTCAGCAGACTTATGGAGAGGTCAGGAAAAACAGATGTCAAATAGCCAATACAGAAACTAAAAACATTGCGGAACTAGCTTGGGGAGAGCCTTTCCCCCAGGTCGGGACTGGATCTGGAGAGAGCAGAACTCGTGGCTGGGCCTTTGGGGCCCTGTGAGGCTCGAAGATGTCAAGGCAACACTTGGGATTTCAGGCTTTGCGGTACAGATGCACATCAGTTTACTAGTCGGTAGGAGGCACGGGCCCCGGTATCAGGTTGCCTGGGTTCGTTGCCCGCTGCAGGGTCCTGACTGGAGCATGAAATCGTGCTCCGGGGTGGTGGGAGGGGATGCAGAAATGCAGATGTCAGGCCACCCATCTCCACGGATTCTGGTTCAATTAGTTGTGGGTAAGGTCTGAGCTTTTTAAAAGCTCCCCTTTTAGTCTAATGTAAATAAAGCTCTGGGTGAAAAATCCTGACTCTTCTGTTGGCCGCTGATGAATCATGAACCAAGTTACTTAGCTCCTCTGTGCCTCAATTTCCTGATCTGTAAAATGGGGATAATTATTATCTCAGTCTCTAGAACTGTCATGAAGATCAAATGACATACTACACATAAAGCATTCATGTAAATGGTGCCTTGGTAGGTAGTCAGTTGCTATAAATGTCAGCTACTGTAATTATTGGGAATATTTCGTGAACAGCCTGGGTTTCCTTGTGGATAAAATTAGGGACTTAGAGTTGATCTTGGTACTCCCTCTGATCCTGACAAACCTTGATTCTAATCTTGTTTATTAGGATCAGAGAGAAAGAGAACCTTGCAAGTTGTGCTTCTTTATTTTTTTTGCCCTTGGGCAATAGAGCAGTCTGTTGGGGCTGGTAGAAAAGTTGGCGGTGAAAGCTCAAGTCCTTAGTCTGTCTGAAAATATCTAGACTGTATTTGACTGATGCTACTCAAATTGTGATCCAGGGACCAACACTATCAACATTATCTGGGATATTGTTAGAATGTAGATTCTTAGTCCCCATCCTTGATCTTCTGATTTAGAATCTCTGGGGATGAAACATGGGCAGCTGTAGCTTCACAGAATCCCCACGTGATTCACATTACAATTTAAGAAGCATCAGATGAGAGAAAAGACTCGTGGCTTTTTTTTTAAAACGCCTACAGCACTTGGTATTTCTATGTGGTCTCCCATACAAGTACTAACCAGGCCCAACTCTGCTTAGCTTCCGAGATCAGACAAGATCGGGCACGTTCAGGGTGGCATGGCTGTAATCTTGTGGCTTTTTAACAAAAAATATTTTCTGTTTCCCTCCAGCTATAGTACGTGTCCTTGAGAGATCAGATATTTGCATGGCCCTTTTCCCCATGGTTCAAGTCTCTGCTGAAATGCAAGAAAAGCCTTACATGACAAATACTTATTCTGTGTCGGCCCCTCCTTTCACCTCTTCTTATCCCTTTACCCTGCTTTATTGTTCTTCAAAGCATTTTTCACTATATTATTAGTTTGTTATTATCCTTGTACCTCATTATAATACAGCTCCATGAGACCAAAGTCTTTGCCTGCTTTGTTCACTGCATTTTTCATGTCTAGGATCGTTGACTGGCACAGAATAGGCTCTTGATAATTATACGTTGAATGAACGAGTCAGGCGATAAATAATGAGGCCTGGTCTGTATGACGTATCCGTCAAGCGTTCCTTACAGTAGTCATTCTGAAATCTTTGTTGAGTTCCTATCAGGTCCTTGTAGCAGCATACTAGAAGTTGAGGATACAGAACAGGAAACAACTACCTGTGGGGTAGATGTGATTAATATAAATAGGGAAAATAGCTAGTGGGTGTTAGAAACTGATGCGTGCTAAAGAAAAAAGAATTAAGCAGGTATGGGGGGAATGAGATGTGTGGATGTGATTAGGAAAGCGAAATTCTCTATAAGGTGGAGTGGGAGGAACTGTCTGAAGAGGTGATGTTTGAATAAAGAAGGAAGTGATTCTTGAAGTGGCCCTCCTAACAGTCTCTCTGGCCCCAGCCTCTTTCCCCTCCGATCTCCTGTCTGCTGGGAGAGTAATCTGTTTCCAACACAAAAGGAATCTTCCTCCTTTCCCTCCCTCAAATCCTTTGCTGCTCCCCTGCCGACCAGTGGATAAAACTGGGACTTCTGCGTCATGGTCGTTTGAATCCTGCCTTCCTGTCCAGCTTTTTTTGCCTCTCGTTTGTCCTCACTTATGCTGTAACGTTCCTTCTCTTGCAGTTTTTCAGTGATTCTGCTCCTTTTTGGCTAATAGAACCCAGTCATCCTCCAGGACTCGCATCAAGCCACGTGTTTGTAGAACCCCCTCCGATCGAGTGTGGGCCTTGAGGCCCAGAGATGAAAGGAGGGGCTGTCACAGAATAAGTGTTTGTCATGTAAGAGTGCCCTGGTCACCACTCAGCCACTTAGCATGTGTAGCGTAAGTGCCAGCTTCGTAATCTCTAGGCCATGAGCAAGCTGAGACTCGATAATTGTGTTTCTTTTAATAAGGTTTCCAAAAGTGTTCATTGAATTAATAAACTCATTTATTTAATGAAGAATTAATAAGTAAGCCTGTCTAATGCTAATTGTCCAGGCAATGAAATAGTTCTCAATATTTTGATGGACACATTCTGTGGATTTCGCAATAGGATTCCATGTAGGCACTGACTGAGGAGCAGAAAACACCTTCCTAAGATGATATTTTGGAAAATCCGGTGGCTCTTTTCCTTCCAAGGATGACCTTGGGACAGCATTGTGAAAGACCTAGAGGAAAAACTTGGAAATAAAACCCCTGCTCTCCACATCCTCAGCCTCAGCATTTTACGTCTCAGACCTGGGACCATGCCATCCAGTCTCTCCACGTGCCTCTGCCTGATGGCGGGTTCATTCTCCAGGACGCTGACACTGCCGAGTGTCTGCTGAGCAATTGCTATGTTACAGGCACTGTTTTAGGTGCTTGGGATATAAAGCTGAGGAACCGCTGATGACAAGGCAGACGGTTGATTTACTCATTATCCCCTTTCCCCCGGGGCGATGGGAAGATCACCCTGCAAAACCCTTTTATTGAGCAGAAGTCACTGGGCAAATACAGAATCAGAACGAAGTGAGTTACAGATTCCAAGTTACGATGTTTCTTCTAGGATTAGAAAGCTTTACATAGGCCTTTTCCATGCTAGAGTTCTTCTCTCCGAAGTCAGATGATTAATAATGATTAGTTAATAAATAATTAACTAATAATCTCTTAATCTGGGCATTTTACTCTGAACTCCCTACCTCCCCCACCCCCCACTCCCAGAATCAGAATCATACCCTGCGAGCTACAAGGAGAACTTGTATTAGGGCCACTGTGTGTGGTGGGGCAGGTCACTCACTGCACAGGGGCTCCCGGCTGAGGGGTGAGTGGCATCTGGACTCCAGCCTGTGCTCTGCTCAAGCCGTGTGTGGCCATAGTCACCCCGAGGGAGGTGTTCCTTGACTCTTTCATGTAAAGCAGCCATGTGGGTAACTTTTATTGAGTGTTTAGGCGGCCAGACACTGCTCCAAATGCTTTAGACTGGTTAACCTTCTTGCGTGGTTTTATGAGGTTAGAATTATTTTCATCCTTGATATAAAGATCAGACACTGAAGCACCTAGCGAGTTGGAGATGCCAGCATTCAAGGGCCAGCAGTCTGTTTCTGGAGTCTACCCCCTTCGCAGCTCTGTCGTCTCCCTCGAGCATATCCCCTGGCTTCAGAGGCCTCTCCCATTTCTGCCTTTTCTCCCTAGCTCTCAAGCCCTCACCCTCTTTCCGTGAGCCCTCAGACTCACATCTGCTTATTTTCATCTTTAGGAGCAACAGACGGACAAGATCTAGAATTCTGGCTCTGATGTGAGAGCTGGATTCAGATTCCGCCCCTGCCTCTTGACCTTGCCAAGCTTCGGCGTCATCATCTGTGAAATGGGAGCAGCGGTCGTTATCATTTATGGAGAACTTTCTAAAACGCCAGGTACTATGCCAGGGGCATTGCATAAATTAGCACATTTATTCCCCACAATAATCCCATGACTAACAATCTGATTTCCTCTCCTTGTTACAGCGGAGGGTAGGCACAGAAGTGTAGGTGACTGGACCAGAGTCACATGGCTCATGCAGCAGTAGCTTCTTCACAGGTATGTGATGAAACGGTGTGTGCCAAGTGCTCCCAAGGTCCCTAACATGTACTTAGTGCTTCTTTAATGTTAAACATTGCGATTTTTGTTGTTTTTATCGTTACTGTGATCACTCTAGCTTGTTAATTTAAGTGACATTGATTATCTAACTTCTAGTTAAATAAATCTTGTAGAGTCACAGGTTTTTATTAACTTCTCATCATTTCATGATAGTCTTTTTTAAGGTCATGCTGTTAACAAAGTAAATTTGGCAAGGTATTATCTTTTAAAAAACAGTCATTCGTAGTCAGATTTAGAGAAAGAATAGTTGTTAGCAGGGGCCAAGGGAAGTGGGGAAAGAAGAATTATTTTTTAATGGGTACAGAGTTTCAGTTTGGGATGGTAAAAAAGTTCTGGAGATGGATGATTGCACAGCAATATGAATACACCTAAAATGATTAAAATAGTAAATTTTATATATATTTTTATACAGAAAAAACCACAATCATCCATTCAATTGTAAATATTATTGCAAAGTCATCAAATTAAGTATGACGCACCAAAAGAGAATAACAGGTTAAAGGTGATTTTCGTATGGCAGAGCAACAACCTGTACAGGCTCTACTGATAGGAATCATTTATAAAGACAGATTTTACGTTAGTGACTATTACCTGCTTTTCTGCCGCTGCTAAGAAATAGTGTGCCCCAAAAGTATTCTTTGAGCTTTCTTCCTACTCACTTAATTCATACAGCAGTCCTATGAGATGGGCATTGTTAATCCCTCCATATTACAGATGAAAGAATTCAGGCCCGAAGATGTTAATAATTGCCCAGGATTTCACAGCTAATAAGTAGCAGTGCCATGAACCCAGGCCGTTGGCCCTAGGGATTACTTCTCAACCTGGGTACTTTACCCTCGATTTCTGCCCTCCTCAGAATCAGAATCGTACCCTGAGAGCTATGTGAACTTGATTTGGGCCGCCGTGTGTGGTTGGGCAGGTCGTTCGCTGCACAGTGCTGTTGGCTGAGTGGAATCTGGAACCCAGCCCACACTCTGCTCATCAAGTCACCTTGAGGAAGGGCCACCATTGCTTTTTCATGTAAAGCAGCCATATGGGTTAGTGACATTCTCAGCCAGATGCTAATGGCTTTTCTCTCTTTTCCCCATTGTGCCTTCCAGAGACTCAGCCCTGACTCAGAAGGAGGACAAAATGACCAAGTTCAAGGTGAGTTGGGCTTCCTCTCTGGGTTTAAAATTGTCATTTCATTTCTCAGTGATTAGACACTCTTGTTTTTTCTTTTTTCCTTGGGAAAGATTCAAGAGAACAGAGGGCAAAGAGCTTTGGGAAGCTCTTATGTGCCACATGATCACTACTTTTTATTTTAGTGTAGTATAATTTTTGTTGTCTAGTCACCTTTTATAATTTCAGAAATAAGAGTAGGGGAGAAAAAGTAAAAAGCTTCTACTTTACTACTTTTTTTTTTATAAAACAACCATTTTTGTTTTCCCACATTTTCTTCACATGCATTTATAACTGTATATTTGTAATCATCACATAGTTAAAATTCTCAAATTATGCCTTTTTAAATTAATATTATATAACTTACATTTTTATTGGTAATAGCATCTTCCCTTGAATTGATGTAGAAGTGTGTGTGTCTCCCATAACTTTTCCCCATTTTTGGACGTTTAGGTAGTTTCAAATTTTTACCGTTTTAAAGAACATTGTAGTAAGCTTTCCTCATATAACTATTTTCCTCAAAAGGGAATTTGGAAGAGTTTCCCATTCTTTGTTCTTAATATTTTAGGAGCTCTAAATTGAGAAAGTACATTTGATATGTGGTACCTCAGGTATTCTGTATGTATATAATATTCAAATCTGGCACAACAGGGTCCAACCAATGCTTCACACAGAGAAACTATTATTAGATATTTTCACCTAAGGTATATTGTTTCTTACTCATGTCTGAGTCATGTCATATGCATGTTTTGCTTACTTATTTATATTTTTTATTCATGTATTGATTTATTTTATTGAAGTAATATACTTAATTTAAAAAGTCCACTAGTACAGGAGGACTTGCCAGATACTTTTCTCACTGTGCTTAGTCTCAGACCAGCCTTAGGAGATTGTACTTGGTCTCATCTGCATTTTTGAATTACAAAGAAACAGGATCGTAGAGTTTCAGAAAACTGCTTAAGTTCACATAGGAAACCAAAGATCCAACTGAGCCCAAAAGACTCATAGGATTTTTACTTGGATAAAGAGAGAGAGGCAAGGGAAAAAGAATTCTCCAGCCAGGGACTGAGCCCTTTGCAGGTGGGGCCTGGTTATCTTCCTGGGTAGAAGACACCACATGTAATACAGCCTCTACCCAGTCACTCTTTGGTGGCCCCTTCTCTAGGATCTCTGCAGCTCACTGAGGGCAACTGGATGTATGGCGGTCCAGTGACAAACACAGTTTTCATATGAAAAGTTAGGACAGCCCCGTACACTGATTATTAATCATGGGCGATTTTGCCTCCAGTCAATGTCCGGAAACATTTTTGGTGTCACAACTTGAGGGATGCTACTGGTGTCTAGTGCATAGAGGCCAGGGTGCTGCTGAACATCCTACAATGCACGAAACAGCCCACACAACAAAGAATTATCTGGCCCAAAACGTCAGTAGTGCCAAGGATGAGGAACTGTGTATACACAAAGCGGTAGAAGACCAGTAGCAAAACACGGGTGAAAATATTTGTAATATATATGCCGGAGAAAAACGAAAAGCTAAAACCTCTAATAGAAATTTTACAGAGTCATAAGATAACACCTCAGTTGGAGTATGAGCCAAGAACAGTAACAAATACTGAAGAAAAAGTAAAAATGGCCAGTAAATATATGAAAATATGATGAACCTATGAATTACCAAATAACCATAATACAGATAACCAAATAAGTTGTTTTTTATTAACCAGATTATCCAGGATTTAAAATCATTGGCTATACTTAATGTTGTGTATGATATGGAGACTCAGGAATGCTTATATTCTCTTGAGGGGAGGAAAAAATAGGGGAAAGTTGAAAAGAAAATCTGCCATCGTACATAATAACTTTGAAATTGCATACCTTTTGACATTGTAATTTCAGTTCTTGGAACTTATCCAAAGCAAATAATTAGACAAGAAGCTAATATCTTTGTAAAAAATTGTTCTTTTCAACATTTATTATGAAAACAAAATCTAAAACAATATGTTTTAGAACATATTGCTACTCCGGCCCTCTCCCAGGAGACCTTTATTGCAAGATTGAGGTTGCCTGTGCTTGGCATCGTAGGAGGAAGTGACATTCAAGGACGTGGCTGTGGTCTTCACCGAGGAAGAGCTGGGGCTGCTAGATGCTGCCCAGAGGAAGCTGTACCGAGATGTCACGCTAGAGAACTTCAGGAACCTGGTCTCAGTGGGTGAGGACAGGCGCCCCCTGTCTCCCACTGTCAGCTCCCTGCGGTGTTTATGTGTCCTTGGATGTGTGGCTCTTTGGAGTGTTTGAACTGGTTGCCAATTTTCTGAGCAGCATGAGACACATGGCATTTTTCTGGTCTTTCTGCCCAGGTTAAGTGTGTGTTTTGTAAATGAATTGTAAATCGACTGCTGTATGGTTTGGGCCTTTCTCAAATTGTGATCATCTCCAATTAGTGGGTCATGACACCCATTTAGGGAATTGTACCAGCATTTTTTAATGAAATAAAATCGGGTAGAAAGTATCAGAGCCCTTGGCAATAACTGCAATTGGCAGCAAAAGCTGCGGCCTGTTGCCAAGGGCAACGTGATATGTTGGAGCGGACGTGATGCAAGTAGACATTTTTTTCCAGTAATACACACTTTTGTCTAATATCCTGGGGTTTTTGCCTAAAATGTGTTTCCTCTGATGGGTCATAATTAAGTTTGGAAAACACTAATTTTGATGTTCTAACGGTGATGCATTGAGGAGCCACAATTTTTAGTGATTTTGGCCTGTAATGTATTAATTTTAAATGTTTGTCCTCACCTTTCCACAGGGCACCAGCCCTTCCCACCGGATGTAATCCCCCAGTTAGAGAGAGAAGAAAAGGTTTGGATGATAAAGACAGCAACCCACAGCCACAGCTCCTCAGGTGAGAGCCATGCCATTCTGAGTCTGTCCAGCTCCCTGTCACCTCCCCCGCTGTGACTCTGGTCTAAATCAGTGCCTAGGATTACCACAGGAGTCTCTGTATCGCTGTCACTTTTCTGTTTTACTCTTTTACAATGAATTCCCCACTCCATGTGATTCCTGTAAATGTTTGTCAGATGTTATGAGTTTGCTGCTCAAAACCTCTAGTAGCTTCTTACCTGATTCAGAGTGAAATCCAGGTACTTAAAGTAGCTTGTGGCTGCTGCTCCCTCTTCCCCTATCCTTCTGTAAATATGATCTGTCACTTTCCCTTTGTCAGTCTGTTCCATCCAGTGTTGCCTCTTTGTTGCGCCAGGCGTGTTTCCGTCTCATAGCCCTCTACTTGTTCTTTTCTCTGTCAGGGATGCTGTTTCACTCTGTATCCTGTTGGCCCCTCTCTTATTTCGCATAGGTCGTTTCTCAAATGTAACCTCATGAGAAAGGCCTCCCATGATCCTTCTGTTCATAATACTTTCTTCTTCTTCCACCCTCTTTTCCCTTACCCTGTCTTAGTCAGTGTCTAAGCATTGATCACCACTTAACACATTAACATATATTTTTATTTATCTAACTGTATTTCCACTGGAATATAATCTCAGGAGAAGAGAAATTCTTTTTTCTCTAGTGTTCTATCCTCAGTGAATAGAACAGACTTGGAAGAGGGCAGGCGAGCTATAAATATTTGTTAAATGAATGAGTGAGTTAATAATGGTTACGTGGATTTTTTTTCCTATTAGTCGTAATAGGAAAAGGTAATAGTGAAAATGTGTGATGTGAAACTAATAATAAAATAAAATATAAAAGAATTTTTATTTTAATTTATTAGCTGCTTTTGGATATATGTAGCTAGATATCCATTAAACCACATGTAATGAATACACTTGTAACCAAATTATCATTTTCTTTCTGTAGTTTTCCTGCAGCCTTTAGTAGTGAATCATAATATCTTGGTGAAGGACTACTATTTAGAATGAAGATACTAATAACCATTTTATACAAAGATACCTCTACTGCTTACAAGCACCTCTTATATTTTTCTATTCTATTGATGCTTGTTTCAAGCTGTTAAATTTATTTCAAACTCACTAAATCCTGCCTTTGTGAAAAACAATGGCATGGTCCATATAGGAAAAACTATCTCTATCCATCAATTTAACAGACTGCTTTCACAGACATTATTCCCAAGGCTCTAAATATTGACTCCTACTTGAAAAAGGAAAATTTTACACACACAGAAAGGAAGTATAAAAATTCCGAAAGTAATTAATCCCTAGGCCTTATGGCCAGTTTTATGCCTTATGCTTTTTTCCCTCCCAAGTGATTCTTGCCATGATTTTTGATCAGCATGATTTTCTCATCATCACCATCCTGTTAGTTTAGCTCTGTGTCTGGTAAAGCCTTTCAGCTTTTCAGCAAAGTCGCTGTTTCCAATCCCTTTCTTATTATGGGCAACTTACTTGAAAAAGCTTTTACTTTTATAACATAGCTCAAACTCTCACAAAGAAATCAAACTGGGATTTCTCTTATCATTCAACATAAATTTATTGAACACTGTGTGAAGAATGTAAAGTGCTCATGCTCATGGATATTACATTCAAATGGGAGAAGACACCAAAAAAAAAAAAAAAAAGATAAAGGACATAGTATGTCAGATGGCAATATGTGCCGTATAAAAACAAAGCAGGGGGAGGTGAATGGAAATTGCCAAGGGTGTGTATAGCGAATAGAGAGAATTTACTGTTTGATACTGGGTGCTAAAAGGCCTCACTGATAGGGCTTGAAGAGAGCCCTGACAAGAAGTAAATAGCAAGCCACACAGCTAATTGGAAGAACAGAGTTCAGGGAAAACATAACTCTTCTTGTCCAGTGTCGAGACTCTATACTATGCCCTTACGAGTTCTTTGTCAGATGTAAAAAATTAGCTTCAATTTTTTTCTTTTTTTCCTCCTGGAGGTTATAGGAACTTTTAATTGCTATGAAGTTTGAGAGTAGCATATATTACTACTATAAACCCTTTTCCCCAATTGTCCTCCCGGACACCTCCCAGCAGGAGGTGAAGGAGCACTTTGCTTACACTCTGAACTTCCGACACTTGGGCGATGAGGTCTTTTCTTCCAGGTGTGTCTTACCAACCAGCTCAGTGCTTCAAAGGTTCCCAACATTGGTGTAAACTCCCAATAAAATAAATCAAAGGTTGTCAGCATTGCCTGGGGACATCTTATGATAATCTGGCTGTAAGGGCTTTACTAGACATTTTGAGCATTTTGGTTAGATATGCATGTATCAGACACCTGCTACAGCAAAAGAAGAGGCTTTCAGTAAGACGCAGCTTCATTATTGTAAAGATTCTCTACGAAGTATTTTTCTTGCTCTAACTTGTAGCTCACTTATGAAACTTCGTACAATTCTAAATGAGTCTCATTAACGTGTAACGAATGGGAATCTGATGGACTGCCTCTTGGTTTCCAGAGGCATATAAATCAGACAACATGATACACGATGATAAAAATGGAACTTTTCTCTTGATTTAATAATACCTTAGAGTGTAGGCCTAAGTTTATAACCTTGACGTTTCTGAACAAAGCATTCACATGCCCCATCTCCAAATTCTCTTTATCCTTTTAGGAGACAAGGACCTAAATGATATGGAGATTCTTCAAGAGGTTGGATTAAGGTACCTGCCACATGACGAGCTTTTCTGCTCACAGATTTGGCAACAGGTTACCAAGGAGTTAAGCAGATGTCAGGATTCCATAGTAAATGTTCAAGAAACTGACTCTCAGTTGGAAAAGCAAGGTGATGCACTCTATAAATGTAAGGAATTTGGTAAAGGTTTTAGTCAGAGTTCACATCTTCAGGTTCACCACAGAGTCCACACTGGAGAGAAACCCTACAAAGGGGAGGAGTGTGAGAAAGGTTTCATTCAGGACTTTTGTCTTCAAATTAACCAGATGGCCTACACAAGAGAAAAGCCCTATAAATGTGAAAAATGTGAAAACACCTTCCGTCGGTTTTCAAGTCTTCAAGCCCATCAGAGAGTTCACAGTAGAGAGAAATCGTACAAATATGATATGTCATGTAAGAGTTTCAGTCAGAGGTCATATCTTCATCATCAGAGAGTTCTCACTGGAGAGAATCCACACAAATTCGAGGAGTGTGGGAGGAACATCAGGAAAAGCTCACATTATCAAACTCCTCTGATAAGCCACACATTAGAGAAACCCTACAAATGTGAGCAGTGTGGGCTGGGCTTCAGTCACAGCTCATATCTTCAAGTCCACCAGAGAGTTCACATGGGGAAGAAACCTTATAAATGTGAGGAGTGTGGGAAAGGCTTCAGTTGGCGTTCACGATTACAGGCTCATCAGCGGATCCACACTGGAGAAAAACCATACAAATGTGATGCGTGTGGCAAGGGTTTTAGTTACAGCTCACACCTTAACATTCATTGTAGAATCCACACGGGAGAGAAACCTTATAAATGTGAGGAGTGTGGGAAAGGCTTCAGTGTGGGTTCACACCTTCAAGCCCATCAGGTTAGCCACACTGGAGAGAAACCATACAAATGTGAGGAGTGTGGGAAGGGCTTCTGTAGGGCTTCAAATCTTCTGGACCATCAGAGAGGCCATACTGGTGAGAAACCATATCAGTGTGATGCATGTGGGAAGGGTTTTAGTCGTAGCTCAGATTTTAACATTCATTTTAGAGTCCATACAGGAGAAAAACCCTATAAATGTGAGGAGTGTGGGAAGGGCTTCAGTCAGGCCTCAAATCTTCTGGCCCATCAAAGAGGCCACACTGGAGAAAAACCATACAAATGTGGTACATGTGGGAAGGGCTTCAGTCGGAGTTCAGATCTGAACGTTCATTGTAGAATCCACACAGGAGAGAAACCCTATAAGTGTGAGAAGTGTGGTAAGGCCTTCAGTCAGTTCTCAAGTCTTCAAGTACATCAAAGAGTTCACACGGGAGAGAAACCGTATCAGTGTGCGGAGTGTGGGAAGGGCTTCAGTGTGGGGTCACAGCTTCAAGCCCATCAGAGGTGCCACACTGGAGAGAAACCATACCAATGTGAGGAGTGTGGGAAGGGCTTCTGTCGGGCCTCAAATTTTCTGGCACATCGTGGAGTCCACACGGGAGAGAAACCATACCGATGTGATGTGTGTGGTAAACGCTTCAGACAGAGATCATACCTTCAAGCCCACCAGAGAGTCCACACTGGGGAGAAACCATATAAATGTGAGGAGTGTGGGAAGGTCTTCAGCTGGAGCTCATATCTTCAAGCCCACCAGCGAGTTCACACAGGAGAAAAACCGTACAAATGTGAGGAATGTGGGAAGGGTTTCAGTTGGAGCTCAAGTCTTATAATTCATCAGCGAATCCATGCTGATGATGAGGGTGAGAAGGGCTTTCCCTCAGAGAAATCCTATGGGAAAGAAGGTCGATGAAATTATATGTTTTAATACCTCAAATGGGTGCTGAACTAGTTCAATTATCAGACCTGTCATAGAAGACAGAACATTTGTTTTATAAAAGAGTGTTTCAGCCAGAGAGTGACATGTCACAGTGGTTGCATGACCACAGAGCAGAGAAACCTCATGAGTGGAGACAGGACTTTGTGCAGAATCTTGGCATTTAGCAGATATTTATTACACAGAAGAGAGGCTTAGGAAGGGTGAATGACCTGGAATTAGCCTGAAATACTAAAATGGAAATACCAGGATCTGTACCACTAGAACATAGGCGCAGAGAGGGTAACAACTTTGTCAATTGCCAAATTTCTGTGTTTTCAGTGCCTCACACATTGTAGATATTCAATACTTGTTAAACGAGTAAAAAAGAACAGTCATTTCAAATTTTTATTCACTTCATCTCCAGATATTTCTATAAGATTGTACTTAGAAGAAGAATTCTGCAAGCTTGGAGGACAGTTAAATGAGACACACGGGCTCATTTTCCCAACCTGCAGGTCCCGTGAATTAGTATTTGTCAAACTGAAGGTTGTAACCGTTAGTGGGTCCAGAAATCAGTTCAGTGAGTTGTGACCAGCACTTTTATATGCTAACAATTGAGGTAGAATTTGCGCACAGTAATATGCATAAATATCAAGTTTACAGCTTCCTGAATTTTGGCAAAAATGTACACTTGTGTAATCATCACCAAAATACAATATTTCTGTTAAACCAGAACTTTTGGGGGTGCACATTTCCAGTCAATCCCACCTCCAGGGGCAACAAGAAGTATTATGGTTTCTATACCATCAATTAGGTCTATTTTTGAGCTTCCTGGGGGTTCAGTATACACTTTTGTGTTTAGATTCTTCTGATCAAATATGTGGTCATCTCAATGGATTCAGAGAAAGCATTTGACAAAATTCAGTATCCATTCATGATAAAAAAAAAATCCTCAATGATATAAAAGGCACCTATAAAAATTTTACAAGCTTACATCTTTAATTAAGGAATAATTTATATGCAGTAACATTGACTCTCCACTGTATTGTTTTGGGTTTGGCAAATACTGCTGTATTAACACAATAATCAGTTTAACACAGTTTAACAGTTCAAGCACCATGCTGAAATTTTTTTGTGCTTTTGTAGTCCTCTCCCCCATGCCTTTTTTCTGTCTGCAGAGTTTACCTTTCCACAATGTCATATAAATGTAATCACACAGTATATAACCTTTAAAGTCTGGCTTCTTTCACTTAATGCTTCTGAAATTCATCGATATTGATATATATATCAGTCATGCCTTTTATTGCTGAATGACATTCAGTTGTATGAATGTATCATATTTTGTTTATCCATTTATAATTTGAAGACTTTGGGTTTCCAGTTTTTAGTGATTGTGAAGAAAGCAGCTATAAACATTCACAGACAGGTTTGTGTGTCAACATGAGTTTTCTTTGTCTTAGTACATACTTAAGAGTATGCTGAGTTGTATGGTTAAGAGTATGTTTAACTTTATGAAAACCTTGCAGACTTCTAAAATGGACATACTATTTTGCATTCCCACCATGCATATCAGAGTTTTATTTTTGTTTTTAGCATTTCAATAGATTTATAGTGGTATCTTCACATTTTGACTTTAATTTATATTTTTCTAATGACTGTGTTGAGCATTTTTATATATGAATATTTGGTATCCATATACCTATTTTCTTTTGTGAACTCTTCTTGTTCTTGATTTTTGATAGTTCTTTACATGTTCTAGATACATGTCGTTTGTCAGTTATGTATTTTGCAAATATTTTATCCCTGTGTGTGGATTATGTTTTTATTCCATTAACAGAATTTTTCACAGATGGAGTTTTTTTTTAAGTTTAATAAAATTCAATTTTTTGTCTTCCATGGATTGCGCTTTTGGTTTCAGCTATAAGAATTCTGCCTAATCCAAGGTCGCAAAGATTTTTCTCCTTTTTTAATCTAAAGGTTTTATGTTTTCTAGTTTTACACTTAGGGCTGTGATCCATATGAGTTCATCTTTATAAAGTATGAGGTCAAGGTCTATCTTTTTTTGCATATAAACAGCCAAGTAAGTGTCCTTTCGACATTGAATTGCTGTCGCACCTTTGTGAAAAATCTATTAACCTAATATGTGTGGGGTCTTTCTGTTTTCTATTTGGTTCCAGTGATCTGTGTGTCTATCATTTTGCCATATGTAATTTTATACAATAAGTCTTGGAATCAGAGTATGAGTCTTCTAACTATGTTCTCCTTTTTCAAAATTATTTTGGCGATTCTAACTTGGTTGGTTTTCCATAATTTTTAGAATCAGCTTTGTGATTTTTAAAAATAAAACCCTTGCTGGGAGTTTTGTTGAGGTTGCTTTGAATTTGATATCTTAACAGTATTGAATATTCTAAACCATAGACATGCAGTATTTGCCTATTTGTTTAAGACTCCCTGGAGTTCTTTCTTCAGTAGCTTGTAGTTTTCAGCATATAGATCCTGTACATATTTTATTAGATTTATTCTTGAGTATTTCATGTTTTTTGGTGTATAATTAAATGGTACTATTTTTCAATTTTTAATTTCCAATTATTCATTTCTAGCATATAGAAATAGTTGTTTTATATTGACCTTGTATCCTGCAATCTTGCCAAGGTTGCATATTAGTTAAAGTAGCCATTCTATAGATTCCCTGGGATTTTCTGTATAGACCCTTATGTCTCTGTAAAAACTTTTATTTTTCCCTGATGGTTGATAGGCATAGTACAGCAACTCTGCTGTGACATGAAGAAAGTCCCTGTAAGTCCTCCCAAAGTTAGGTTTGGTATGATCAGAGGAAGGGATGATCAGAGGATGGCTGTCAAGGAGACGGTCCTAAACGGAGAGCAAGAATATTCAGTGTTCAGACATTTTATAGAGTGGGAGTCCTGCCTGCATGAAGTTTGAAAGAGGGGGTGGAATGGCACATGCCCTTGTGGAGTGGTGATTGGGCCTTAGCAGGATTGTGGAGGGGAGGCAGTGGGCAGAAGATGATGCTTATAGCTTGCTCACATTTAATCGAATGTCCATTTCTTTCCTGTTTTTTGTTTTTGTTTTTTAATTCATTCCTGACATTTGGGCTAGTATCGCAACCTCCAGGTTTTCCTGTAAATAAACTTGTATTTGGAAGAGACCACATTTGCAAAGTCGACCTAAAGCAATTATGATAACTCTCTGGGCTGGATAATAGCAATTCAGGCAGCAGAAAGAGTCTGGTGAAGAAATCAGTGGCGATTCAGGAAATCTTTTGGAGAATTTTAGTAATTTGGTAAAATCGTAGACTATTCTGGTTTGTCTTATATATTGAATTTTTCAGGAGACCCTATATTGTTGACCTACGAAAAACCAGAGGTGCTCTTCAACGGTCCACGTTGAGATGCCAGTTGATAGTCTGATGCAGTATGTTAACCAGTTGCCATAGCAGCTATGGGCCCAACCAGTCAATAAGAGTTATCTTTTAAGAGTATACTTGTCAGCTGCTAAGAGTAGTTTATATCAGAACACATAGGGAATTGTTGGCTATTGTGTGGTTAAGTGACTCCAACAGGCATAAGACTTAGTTGCAAGGCCTTCCACTGTAAAGGAGTCACCAGGTGAGGTGCGGCATCACTTGTTGGATGGCTTTTTGAGTAGTCCTGTTGGGCGGCCCCCATTCAAATTAAAATGACTTTTAGTGACTTTCATCAAATAAAAATTTTTAAAAAAACTTGTAAAGGGAGAATTGCAGCCAAAACTCAAATAGGACAAGTAGGTAGTAGGCTTGTTTGAGAGAGATGGGAGCAAAGAGAGTCACTACTTATGACTTAACTGGATCTAACATAGAGCTGCTTTCTGTGAGCTAAATTATGCCCCCAAATCTGACAGAAATGGTTGGACCCTAGATCTTTTGAGTCATGATAGATCAGCCATGGTCAGACTCTGGTAATCATATCAAATGTTTTATGCAAGGACTTCATGAATTTCTTTGCTTAGTACAGGTTCATCCATGTAATGCCATACTATCACTCAGTGCTTGGGGACAGTGTAAGCCCTTGAAAGTCCTGTCTGCATACATTTTGAACCATACAGGCTGCCGAGATGGGTTATAGATAAATGAATGAATGTACACTGAGATCCTTCAAAGGTAAATGTAAATTGTGGCTGTGATACTGGAGAAATGGGGACAGAGTAAAACATACTGGCTGGATTAATAACTGAATTTCAATAATATTCAGGGTAGGAGCCTTATTGGAGGTAGCACTACACTGAGATTGTAGTCTGCCTAAAAGGCCATTCATTTTCAGTAGGCTTAAGGACGGGCCAGATGGTGCTGTCGAAGGGAGAAATGGCATTTTAGAAGAGGGAATGAGGACTTCTTGTGGGTCATAATTTCTTAATACTTCTTTAATTGGATATAATGGGTATTTACCAATTTAATAGGAAGTAGCAGATTCCCTGAGGTCTGTTTAGCATGGCCAATTGTAAGTGAGGGCATTGGATTTGAGCTTTTGAACAGGTTTTACTTCTCTGACACCCAATGTGTGGGGGCTTTCCATACCCCTTCTCCAGCTCTCCAACATCACCTGGATATCTGGTGATTCAGTTCAGTTCTGACACTAAAAACCCAGTTATCCATAGGCCTCACAGGTTAAGGGCTCAGACCCACAAGGCTCTCCCACTTCAGAGTCTAGTTGCAAGCCCTTGGGCCTCCCATACTTCTGACAGACTAGCTATAAATCAGAGATTTCCACAACCTCCTCGAGTTTAATAATTTGCCATAACAACTCATGGAACTCAGGAAAATAGTTTACTTAATATTCCAGGACATTATAGAGGATACAACTCAGGAACAGCAAAATAAAAGGACATAAAGTGAGGTATGAGTGTGGGGCTTGGTGCTTCCATGCTTCTCTAAATGTGCCATCCTCCCAGCATTTAGATGTGTTCACCAACTTGGAAGCTTCCCAACCCCAT